GACGTACGTGACTTTAGTGAACGCATCCGAGAGTCGGATCATTTCGTCTTCACCCAGCTTGGTGATGAGGGGGTTGTCTTCCGGAAAAAACTTTGCCAGGAGGTCTTTCACCGTCTTGACCGTAATGGTTTCCGCAAGATCGACCGTCACGTCTGGGTACTCGTATACGATTCTGATCTTCACCTCCAAGCATCCCTTAAATTCTTTCTGAGAGACCCGGAGTCCCGCGTCGCGATATTTTTTCAAATACTCATCGATGCGAAGAGGCTTCTTCTCCAGTGCTCCCTCGTTGCCTTCCTTCGCGTCCCCCAGTTTCGCGCTCAACTGAGTGAAGACGCTGTCGTCCACGAATGCGGCTATCTCCTCGACTCCAGGCTGGAGATCCGACTGGCTCGCCATGTAGTGTTGCGGTTTGGCGACTTCTCTTTAATGTAGACCACATATTCGCTTTAATTGGACATAATCACTATGTAGTTTCTGTTTTTATTGGACAAAAGTATTTAGGCGCACATCTCGCCAGGTTTATTATAATAACACATATTGTACTTTTTGGCACTTCAGACTGTATTTGTGCTTTGCAATGATTTTGGCAATATGAGGCGAGATTTGCTGTATTATTACGACCACCTGCTAGATTTACGATAAATCGAGGTGCATAAATGGGTGGAGGCCTAGAATTACGCTAAAAGCGCCACAATTGCACTTTCAAAAGTGCAATTGTGGCTGTGCAGCTGCAATTCTGTCGGTTTTTATCCACAAGCACCTACACACACGGCAATTATGCATAAGAGGGTGGATGTGCTGGGGATCATGGACGGTGGTGTACTGGGCCAATGCATGGCTGCTGACAGGCCCTCCCAAGTCGATATATATATGAGGAGGTGGATTTATGCATAATTTTAGCAGGCCGTGTATCTTCTTTCACACATATTTAGGAGCAGGCTTTGCCATATTTAGCGTCTAAAATGGTCGGCAAAATAACTGCAAAGCACAATAACTCGTACGACTTATCGAGCACGACTATAAATCGTACTCGAGTACGAATTGCTGTAAGTCGTGGATGGTCAATCACTTGTGTCGAGCATTCGTAAGACAGTTTGACGACAAATCAAATGTAGCAATTTCATTGGTTAATATTGTATTATGTAGTTTTGAGTGTTGCTGCATCTCGGCTCGTAAATTGGACTGATTCATCTGTGTGCGCATTTTGCCCCCTTTACTAGAGGCAGCGCACTTGAAAAATGTCCGGGCTTTTGATCCTGACGCCATGCACTAACCTCCTGCTAGAAGATTTAAATATACTTGCCAGGAATGGAATGTAAGGACATCATAGCACAGTTATCATACGACCGTTTGTTCCCGTAGTGGAGCAATGTTTCTTCGCTTTACTGGGGTGAACGACAACAGTCGTTCACCCCACCACGCCAACTCTCCTTTCTACAGTAAAGTACTAACACTACATAGAAGATGGAGATTCGGATAGAGGGCGCATACGCAAACCAGTCTACGCTGTAGCATCGACAAAAAGCGTGGCTGCAGGCAGTGGCTTAGTTGCAGGAGATACCGAGTAACTCGCCGATGCCGAAGGTCGAGCCCAGCAGCGATATGGCGCGCGCCGAGCGCCCGCGCAGCAGTGTGGAGCTCCTCCGCACCTCAGCGTCGTAGGTACAATATCTAGGTGTTATCGCCGTTGCAGAGTACGTGGTTGCATTTTGTTGCTGGACTGTAATG